CATTTCCCCCCCCTCCCATACATACCCTCCCTCCCCAGAGTTTGGTGTCCATTGGTTGTACTTACATGCATGTATACAAGTCCTTCGGTTGATCTATTATCTCCCCCATATCTCCCTACCCTCCCCACTGTAATTTGACAGTTTGCTTGTTGTTTTACTGTCTCTATATCTATCTTTTGGTTCATCAGTTTACAATATTCTTTATTATCCATAAATGAGTGAGGTCATGTGGTGCTTCTCTTTCATTGACTGGCTTATTTCACTCAGCATGATGTTCTCCAATTCCATCCAGGTTGCTGCAAATGATGAGAATTCCTTTTTTATGGCAGCATAGTATTCCACTGTGTACATGTACCATGGTGTTTTGATCCAATCATCTGCTGACGGGCACATAGGCTGTTTCCAAATTCTAGCTATCGTAGATTGTGCTGCTATGAACATAGGGGTGCATATATCCTTTCTGATTTGTGTTTCTAGTTTCTTGGGATATATTCCTAGGAGTGGGATTACTGGGTTAAATGGGAGTTACATTTTCAGTTTTTTGAGGAAACTCCACACTGTTCTCCACAGTGGTTGCACCAGTCTGCATTCCCACCAGCAGTGCACAAGGGTTCCTTTTTCTCCACAACCTTGCCAACACTTGTCGTTTGTTGATTTGTTGATGTTGGCCATTCTGATAGGTGTGAGATGGTACCGCATTGTTGTTTTGATTTGCATTTCTCGGATAATTAGTGACTTTGAGCATGTTTTCATGTGCCTTTTGACCTTCCTTCTGTCTTCTTTTGAGAATATTCTATTTAGGTCCATTGCCCATTTTTTAATTGGATCATTCATCTTCCTTTTATTTAGTTGTATAAGCTGTCTGTAGAAGTTGGAGATTAAACCTTTATCAGTGATAACATTTGCAAATATGTTCTCCCACACAGTGGGCTTTCTTGTTGTTTTGTTGATGGTTTCTTTTGCTGTAAAAAAAAAAAAAGCTTTTTATTTTGATGTAGTCCCATTTGTTTATTTTCTCTTTAGCTTCCATTGCCCTAGGGGCAGTATCAGTGAAGAAGTTCTTTTGGCATATGTCTGAGATTTTTGCTGCCTGTGGATGCTTCTAGTATTTTTATGGTTTCCCGTCTTATGTTTAAGTCCTGTATCCATTCTGAGTTTATTTTTGTGTATGGTGTAAGTTGGTGATCCAGTTTCATTCTTTTGCATATATCTGTCCAATTTTCCCAACACCATTTATTGAAGAGACTGTCTTGACTCCATTGTATATTCATGCCTCCTTTGTCAAATATTAATTGAGCATAGTGATTTCGGTTGATATCTGGGTTCTCGATTTGATTCCATTGATCTATATGTCTGTTCTTGTGCCAGTACCAGGCTGTTTTGAAAACAGTGGCTTTGTAATACAGCTTGAAGTCTGGTACTGAGATCCCTCCTACTTTCTCTTCTTTCTCAGGATTGCTGTGGCTATTCTGGATCTTTTATTATTCCAAATGAACTCTTGGAGAGTTCTTTCTATGTCAGTGAACTATGCCGTTGGTATTTTAATGGGGAGTGCATCAAACCTATAGATTGCTTTAGGAAGTATGGACATTTTGATGATGTTGATTCTACCAATCCATGAACATGGTATGTTCTTCCATCTGTTTACATCTTCCTCTATCTCTTTTTTCAGTGTCGTGTAGTTTTCCGCAAATAGGTCCTTTACTTCCTTAGTTAAATTTATTCCTAGTTATCTTAATTTTTTTGGTGCGATGGTAAATGGAATTGCTTTTTTAGTCTCTGTTTCTGTAATTTCACTGTTGGTGTATAGAAATGCCATGGATTTCTTGGCGTTAATTTTGTATCCTGCTACATTGCCAAATTCATTTATTAAGTCGATTAGTTTTTTAATGGAGTCTTTTGGGTTTTTTATGTACAATATCATGTCATCTGCAAATAAGGATAACTTTACTTCCTCTTTTCCAATTTGGATGCCTTTTATTTCCTCTTCTTGTCTAATTGCAATATCTAGTACTTCCAGTACTATGTCAAACAGGAGTGGCGAGAGTGGGCATTCCTGTCTTGTTCCTGTTCTTAGAGGGAATGGTTTTAGTTTTTGCCCATTGAGTATGATGTTGGCTGTGGGTTTATCATATATAGCTTTTATTATGTTGAGGTATGATCCTTGTACTCCCACTTTGAGAGTTTTTATCAGGAAAGGGTGTTGGATTTTATCAAAAGCTTTTCTGCATCGATTGATATGACTATATGATTTTTATCTCTCAATTTGTTTATGTGATGTATCACATTTACTGATTTGCGGATATTGTACCATCCTTGCATTCCTTGGATAAATCCTACTTGGTCATGGTGTATGATCTTTCTGATGTACTGCTGGAGCCTATTTGCTAAAATTTTGTTGAGGATTTTGGCCTCTATGTTCATGAGGGATATTGGCCTGTAATTCTCCTTCATTGTGTTGTCTTTTATCTGGTTTTGGTATTAGGGTGATACTGGTTTTATAGAAGGAGTTTGGAAGTGTTCCTTCCTCTTGAATTTTGGTTTCAGCCACATTCCTCCCAGTCTGCCGAGCTGTCTGAAAGTGCTTGTTCTTCTTTTTCTACATTTTCTAGTTACATTTGCTCTCCAGCCTCTCAGCTTGCTCTCTCACGTCTGCTACAAATCCTTTGGAATGTTATTGGGTTGCATTGCATGGTTGTTGAGATAAAGTCATTCGTAATATTGTTAAGTAATCCCATCTAGGAACTGTATATCTTTTAATACTCAAATCATTTTAATATCTTTTAATTAAACTTTATAGTTGGTTTTGTAAAAGTATTATGCATTTTGTGATATATATATGAAGAGAATATTCAAGTACATGTACATATTATTTAGTGTCTAGACAGTACACTACTATAGATTAGTGTGTTATTTGCATGCTGGTACATACTTTTATATGGATTCTCTCCCTACATGTAGATATAAACATAAGTATCATTTTCATTGCTTTTGTATAGGTGTTTATTGGTTCCTTTTTAAATCAGTGGAAGGGATGGATTTGTGTATGCTGATTGTATGTAGAGACACTGTATTAAATTTTCTTGGTACTTTTACATGAAAAATAATTGTCGTAGAGATTTCAGGACCAAAATAAAGAGATGCCTGAGCAGCGGTCCCGGGCTTCCCATGCCTCCGGCTGCGTGTTCTCCGATTGCTGGGCGTGCGGGCTGCCCAGGCAGCTGGGGCCCTGGGCTCCTAGTTGTGAGGCCAGTGCTTTTCGTGTCTCGTTATCATGTAGGTTCTGGCAAGTATTCCTGCACGTGATTCTTCCTGTTCCTCGCTTCCCAGGTCGCCTGTGGTCCTCTCACTCCCACGCCTCACACCAAGCCGGCTCCTCCCTGCACTCCTGGGACGCCTCCGTGGGCCCGTCCCTGCGTCTGGTTCTCCTCCGCCACTCCTAACTGTTTGGGAATATTGTCCTCCCCATCACACTGCATCCTTAGCTACTCATGTTTGTGTCTTAAATGGCCAAGCTCCTGACATGTATAAAACAGATGCTCAATTAAGATTGTTCTAATAAATCAATGACTGCAAGAATCATCGAGAAGTTTTCTATGGATCCTACAAGCAGGTCATTCCTGTAACTTGGATAATACTTTGTTCTTTCTTAGAATTTCTTTCTACTTCTTAGAATCACATTTTCAGTGTCTTGGTTTTGTCCATCCTGTCTGTAGCAGCGGGCCCAGGAGCCACTGGGGAGAGGACTCTGTGCTCACGTGGGGAGCTGCATGGGGAGCAGGAGTCTGGTCATCGGGCCTTAGGAAATCAAGTTGTCACTGAACTTCTGTTTCACTTCATAAGAAAATTCACTCTCTTCACCTGCAGGGGATAACCATTCGGCCGCTCGTGGAGTTTCTCGATGTTAAAAAGGCCAATAAGAAGCAGCAAGCCGTAAGTGAGGAGATCCACAGCCGGGTAGGTGCCAGGGCTGACGGCCGGGCGGGAGCTACGGGCTCGGTCACACGGGGTGACGGGGTGGGGGGGGAGCTACGGGCTCGGTCACACGGGGTGACGGGGGGTGGGGGGGGAGCTACGGGCTCGGTCACACGGGGTGACGGGGGGTGGGGGGGGAGCTACGGGCTCGGTCACACGGGGTGACGGGGTGGGGGGGGAGCTACGGGCTCGGTCACACGGGGTGACAGGGTGGGGGGTGGGAGCTACGGGCTCGGTCACACGGGGTGACGGGGTGGGGGGCGGGAGCTACGGGCTCGGTCACACGGGGTGACGGGGGGTGGGGGTGGGAGCTACGGGCTCGGTCACACGGGGTGACGGGGTGGGGGGTGGGGGCTACGGGCTCCGTCACACGGAGTGACGGGGTGGGGGGGTGGGAGCTACGGGCTCGGTCACACGGGGTGACAGGGTGGGGGGTGGGAGCTACGGGCTCGGTCACACGGGGTGACGGGGTGGGGGGTGGGGGCTACGGGCTCGGTCACACGGGGTGACAGGGTGGGGGGTGGGAGCTACGGGCTCGGTCACACGGGGTGACGGGGTGGGGGGTGGGAGCTACGGGCTCGGTCACACGGGGTGACGGGGTGGGGGGTGGGGGCTACGGGCTCGGTCACACGGGGTGACGCTGGTGCTCGGTGCCTGAAGAAGGGGAGGGAAGACGGTAAAAAGGAGGCAGGCTGGGGAAGGCGTGGGCTGGGGTGCGGAGTGAGCAAAGCCTGGCGAGCTACCCAGTGAAGGCCCCTCATTAACTCCTTCAACCTGAAACACTTCCATAGAAAATTACCATATTTCATAGTCTCTAAAATTACGAATAAACTTTTAAAGATAAAACAATAATCTTAGAATTGCTTAGTATCCAGGTGACAAACATCCCATCAGTGTTCGAACATTGATTCTTGTTTCATTGCTTTCAGTTAAAGAAAAAAGGCAAAAGCTACTGGCATCTGACGTGTAGCGTGATGTACAAAGAGTAGGGATGACGCTGTAGTTCAGGCTAACCCAGGCTCTGCCTTCTTCCTTCCAGTTCTTTGACCACGTGAAGACTGGCATCGAGGACGTCTGCGGACACTGGGGCCACAACTTCTGGAGAGACAAGTAAGGAGGCGCTCGGCGGGCTCGGCGGGCTCGGGCCCTCCTGGCGGTGTGGCTCTCAGGGGAGCGCCCCTGTGCTGCCAGGGGGCCCTTTAGGACCCGGGGGCTGTGCCAGAGACCTGATAGCGGGGCTTTAACCAGACAGAGTGTGTTTCTCTCCAACATAAACAGCCGGAGGCAGGCAGTGAGGTTTCCTCGCTGAGTTCAGCTCACAGGCTCTCACGGTCCCAGGGCCCTCTGTCCAGATGATGCTACTAACAACTTCCATTTCCAAAGTTGTTCGGAGACCAAAGTGTCTGCTCCGGCGTCGGCCATTATGCACAAAGCCCAGGCTGGCCTGGGCAGAGGATCGTGAAGAGAAGGAGCTGTACTCGCCTCCTCCTATTGCACAAGGGCACACACTCCCACACAGTCCCGCCACACCCCGCCTGGCCCTTCACAGCCAGGCCGCCGTCCGAGGACACTTCACATTGCTAGCGACACTGAAGAATGCAGTCTACTGGGTAAAAACTGGGGGTCCCATTACTATTTGTTCTGCCAGATGTGTTGAAAGCATCTGAGGTCATAAATAGACTAACAGAAATAAAACTATTTTTAAAGCTACACTTAGCTAGAAGTTTATGTGCACTTATATAAATGAGTCTATCACCTATCACTTGTCCACCATCTATGATAGATGGTGGACAAGTGATAGGTGATAGACAGATGATAGACTATCACCTATCTATCTATCTATCACCTATCTATCATCTGTCTGTCATCTATTTATCATCTATCATGTATCATCTATCACTTATCATCTATCAACTATCTACCACCTATCAACCATCTCCCTATCTGTCATCTATCATCTATCCTCTTCATCTATCTATCATCTATCTATCACCTATCAACTTTCTGTCTATCATCTATCATCTATCATCTGTCTATCATCTATCATCTATCACCTATCTATCATCTATCTATCGCCTATCTTTGATCATCTATCTGTTTATCACCTATCATCTATCACCTATCAACCATCTGCCTATCACCTATCATCTCTATCATCTATCTATAATCTATCATCTATCTATCTGTGGGGGTTTTGCCTTTAAATGCTCTGTGCTGGATAAATAAGACTCAGTGTCTCTTCAAGGATCTTACAGTTGAAGTGGAAAAGGCAGCCTAGCCAGGCAGAATGGCTGGCGAGGAGAGCCTTAGGAAGGAGGGGGCATGTCAGTTGGTCCCTGAAAACGGGCAGGTCTAAGCTGCAGCTGGTGGAGTCTCTTGCCCTCCTGCCTGTCCTTCCTCACTGAGCTAATTACATGAAGTTGACCAGACTACCAATTTATGTAATTTAATATAGGGAATTTTTAAGTGCTTATGTGACAGTGCACTACATGAGAAGTGTAAGTGATAGACTCGAGCCCTTAAATGTTTGCAGTATAATAAAGGCAACAAAAAAGTCATAAAGCCAATAGGTGAGAGAGATAGAGAGAGAGAGAGAGTGTGTGTGTGTGTGTGTGTGTGTGTGTGTGTGTGCAGGTGTGTGTGCGTGCATGTGAGATATCACTCAATCATAACATGAGCTGTGGAGACTAAGGGCTAAACCACCTTTATAGCCCTGCCACACTGCTTACCAATGGAAAATGGCTCTGTGGACCAAGCTTATCTTGTCACTACAGGAAAGTATTTACTTGTCACTTCCTACATAATAAAGAGCTAGCCCACTATTAGACCAAACAGCCGAACGACCTTCCAGAGCTTCTGGATGAAGCCGGGCTGCGAGGACCTCTGGTGTGGACATAAAGCAATAAAATAGCACAGACTAACATCTCCACTGTAGAAATCTGGCAGCGGTGGCATTGACCTTGGGCAGTGTCCACTGCTCTTGGGGGCGGGAGGTAGGCCAGAGCACGCTGGCCATGCGCCTGTGACTGCCCGGCCCTGCTGCCCCTGCTTCTCCCTTTCCCAAGCACTCTTCATCCCTCCTTCTCATCCTGCTGGTCCTGCTGGTGACAGGTGACAAGCGAGTAGAACAATGTGTTCCTTTTCAAAAGTAAAGATTGGGCTTCAGATTTCTATCACTCCACTGCCCCCAAGTGAGGAAAAATCCGAGTGTGCTGGCGAGATAGCTCAGCTGGTTAGAGCCTCGTCCTGATACAGGCACAGACAAATCAACCAATGAATGCACACGTAAGTGGAACAACAAACCGATGTCTCCCTCTCTCTCTCTCTCTCTCTCTCTCTCTCTCTCTCTCTCTCTCTCTCTTCCCCCCCCCCCGTCTTTCTCTCAAAAAAAATGATACATATGTTTTTTAATATATATATATATATATATATATATATTTTTTTTTTTTTTTTTTTTTTTTTTTTACAGAGAGGAAGGGAGAGAGATAGAGAGCTAGAAACGTCGATGAGAGAGACACATCGACCAGCTGCCTCTTGCACACCCCCTACTGGGGATGTGCCCGCAACCAATGTACATGCCTTTGACTGGAATCGAACCTGGGACCTTTCAGTCCACAGACCGACGCTCTACCGCTGAGCCAAACCGGTTTCGGCATGTTTTTTTTAAATAGATGTGTGTAGAGATGAGATCCCCGCAGAGTTAGAGGGAGGAAGAGGTGGCCTGTGGTGTGTGGCTTTGTCTGGGATGCAGGTGGAAGGAGGATCGGAGAGGCTGGCTGTCCTGCTCGCAGGGAGAGGCGCTTTGTCTCTGAGGCTGCGTCTGTCCCAGGCAAACACTGCCATCGCCGCTGACAGAACTGCAAACACTGAATTTGGCCTCAACAACTGATACATGTCTGAAAGACAGTACTGTACCCGCCTGACTTAGACTGGACAGCATAACGACCTTCCAGACGAATCCATGGCTGAGAGGGCGGGGCTCCTGGCATGAATTCCGTGCATCGGCCTTTAGTTTTGAATAATTTTCTGGATGGTCAAGGGCACTGTTTATGCCAGGAAGTGGGTATGGAGCGGTGAGGTACAACTGGCCATGTTAGCTCAGTTCTGCTCAGGCCCTCACTGGCATGTGCTAATTGTTGGTGTTACAAAGAGGACGGGAGAAGTGGCTGTTGTCGGTGTGCGGGTACCTTTCCCTTTTCTCAGGAGCCCTTCGTTGTGTGTTTTCCTGCAGGGAATTCTGGGGGCGGTGGGCCCTTTGAGAGAGAAGTGACAGGGCAATGCAAGAAGGGGGTTCCTCAGACTCGGCAGGGGGAAGCTGAGGATGGAGAAGGAGGCGTCCGTGTGTGCCTGGCGGAGGAATGGAAGGTGCAGAAACAAAGCAGAAGAAAGAGAGCGCACAGGCCGCCCGGCCAGGGTGCTCGTGTGCCGAGGCCGCTGCCCCTGTCCGGCTCCGCGGCCCCGCAGGGGCAGCCAGGCCATGTGGGTGTTTCTCTCACATCGGCTTCTATGTCTCTCGCCCTCTCCCTTCCTCTCTTTGACGTCAATGAAGACATATTTTTAAAAAGAAAGTGCACAGGGACCGGTTTGGCTCAGTGGACAGAGCGTCAGCCTGCGGACTGAAAGTTCCCGGGTTTGATTCCGGTCAAGGGCATGTACCTTGGTTGCGGGCACATCCCCGGTGGGGGGTGTGCAAGAGGCAGCTGATCGATGATTCTCTCTCATCGATGTTTCTAACTCTCTATCCCTCTCTCTTCCCCTCTGTGAAAAATCGATAAAATATTTTTTTTAAATAGAAAGAAAGAAAGTGCTCAGCTCTACCCAAAAAACATCAGATGTCATTATCCCTAACGTTCCTTCCTCACTTTGAGTCTCGGGAACGGCTGGGACAATAACAATAAGAGAAATGCTAAAAGAGATGCTGCTGCCAAGAGGCCTGTCCACTTAGACAAAAGTGGGGCCCAGCAGTCAGCGCCGGGCCAGCCAAGGGCAAAGCCTCTAAGGATGACTAACCATTCAGCCTTCTGGTATTCAAAACCAGAATGTGGTTAGCATGGATTTTTGTTTGTTTTCAAAACACAGGTGTGCCTATAACACTCCTTGGGCTCATGGTAATCACTGGAATAAATTTCTTTCTCAACAAATATTACTGCACGCTGTATTGTTCACATATTGATATAATAATGTTACAAACAAACCAACCCAAAAGGCAGACAATAGTCACTTATTATTAAAGCGCCCGAGGCAGGTGGGGGCAGCAGCTCTGGGAGGGCGGGCGGGTCTGACTGGTGTGGCCCTGGCCCGCTGCCTCTGTGCCGCGCCCGCTTCCCCTGCTCCATGTGGCATTCTCCTCTGTCTCGCGACTGATGGCCACTCCATTTGCATCCTCCTCGCAGTACCTGGGCAGGCATGGGGGCAGGATAGAATGAGCAAGCCTCTGCCCCATCGCCGTGTCTGCTGTTAGCCCACTGACCATCCAGGGAAGTCCTGAGCTGAGAGGCGGGAAGCAGGCTGGGTGGGTAGGACATTGCCGAGTACTATGGCAGAGGGTGTGCGTACGGGGAGGAACTGGGGCTGCAGGATTCCTTCTTGCAACCAAGCTTACAATTGTGAGGCCCTGAGCTGTGCGCTGGCGATAGCCAGAAACTACCCCCCCTCAGCCCACAGAGCCCATCCGTGCAAGGAAACAGAAAGCAGCACAGATACCAGATTCATAGCACGTTAGAAAGTAGCTTCTGTGGAGGAAACAGAATAGGAAGTCTGGTGGAGAACGGGCGACATGTCTGTGGGAGGAGAGTTTCCAGGAGAAGAAATAGTCAGGAGAGAAGCCATAGGTGGAGTGCAGCTGGAGAGTGTCCAGAACAGCAAGGACACCAGCGAGGACGTCAGGGAGGACACCAGGGAGGACGTCAGGGAGGACACCAGGGAGGACATCAGGGAGGACACCAGGGAGGACACCAGGGAGGACACCAGGGAGGACGTCAGGGAGGACACCAGGGAGGACGTCAGGGAGGACATCAGGGAGGACACCAGGGAGGACGTCAGGGAGGACACCAGGGAGGACACCAGGGAGGACACCAGGGAGGACATCAGGGAGGACACCAGGGAGGACG